TGCCGAGAGTAGACGAGACACCCTGTCCGTCATGAGGCGGGGCAGCCCCGGTTCTCATAGTCGCTGATCAGGCGTACGCCGAGGTTGACGCATGGCTTTCGTGCTAGTCATGGCGGCGGCCATGATATATGTACAGGTGGAGTGGGGCATGCTGTGCCTCTTAGCAATTGCTATCCTGATTGTGATGCTAGCGAGAGGAGCTGCCAACGGTTTTGTGGTCAGCGGAAGAATGTAAGGATAGGGCCGCTGTCACAAGCGCACCGTGGCATAGCGTGGCCTGAGCTAGTGCCTTCGCGTGTGGTAAGCGCAACCGAGATGCGCATCCTGGAGATTACCGCCAGGCTGACCTGAACGGCGCTGAGTCGCAAGTGATCCTTTGAGAATTGTGCGTGAATCGGCCGGCACTCGCATGGGCACTGGTGTGGCTCTTCTCGTAATCTCCACCTTGTACTGCACTGATCTGCGGACGATGCTGATCGTTGATCAGCTCTCGAGTGTGGTCGACTGCCGAGCAACAGCCGGAGCAGGTGACTTGAGGCTGCTGTGATGCGTGGAGACGTGGGACAAGCCACACACAAAGGGGAAAACGAGTCACATCTTAATCTTACAGCCGCGAGCCTCCGTGCCTCAAACGTGGATGGATCTGCCGAAACACAACCCTGGCCCAAGTGGGCGATAGCCCCCAGGCGAGGGCAACAGACTTTACAGGATTGTTGCAGGTAGAAAGACGTAGGTTGCTTCTGCGCGCCAGCTCTGCAGTCGCGCGGACTTGATTCCTGCGTCTCGCAAAACGAAACAGTCCGCGTTGCTTTTTGATCACCGACGGCGCATCTGCACTTGTGGAGCTCCAGGTCGCACAAGTCGATCAGGTAAGAGCGGGCCGTGACGCTAGTCCGCGTCGGGTGAAGCGCGCAAAACTACCCCTGTCGCCCGTTGGAGACTGCTTGTGCAACACATTTTTTTGACAGGCTAGGTACACAGCATGCGACGAGTAGCGCCTGTATCTCGATCGCGGTCCGTAAGGGGACGTGTCCATTCGTGTAGGATGGCTCTGCGCTCCAGGTGACTGCTCGTACTGTTGTCGGGATGTGGAGACGGGCAGTCATCACGTCTGGTGAGCGACGGGCCAGCTGCGCAAGCCGGCTCATCCACGATCGCCTTCATACCGGCGCTGACGTGGTGGCTCATTTGACGGGCGTGCTGTCGGCTAGATGTTTGCAATCCGCAGTTCGTTTGGTGCCAGGGTTCTAAATTGGGTAGGCGACTGAGGTGAGGATGTTTCCATCTCGTCTCGAATCATGGGCGTAGGTCGCAATCACTACGCTAAAGCTTGCGTCCAAATTTGGCCCACCGAACAACTAGACTCGACAGCAGACGCTTCACTTGACCTCGCCCTAAGGTAGACGTCGTTGAGTTGCGTTGACGTTATGCAAGGACGGCCCTTATTATTGCCTCCAATGTTCCACCCGTGGTGTCCGTCGCGCTGGAATCGACAGCGCATGACGAGGACTGTAGAGCGCCGGGCGTGTTTTCATCATGTCGAATTGCATTCGCAAGGGTGCCATGTGCCAGCGATGTGCGGTCGCGACAGGAACCAGGGTGCGTTTATTTGGTCGACGACCACTTCTGCTTGAGTCGAGGCCTGAGTCAGGACGCGCAAACAGACTCGGGCGCTGGCCGCCGACAATGCGACTGAGGTCAGTTGGCGATATCCACTATTGGCGTCACAGGCGAGCATGCGGCTATCCGTGTGGCATAATGTTGTCACTAGCCTTGTAGCAGACGGACTGTTGCAGTAGTGGAGGTCAACGTCCATCAACAGCACACGTTGTACCGTACGAGTAAGATGCAGACGAGAGAGTCAGCCTTGTATGGTCTGATGCACGGGGCCCTCATCCGACCACCCATGGGAATCTGCTGCCGCCGCGAGAGTGCTGGCGTTGCATGTCCTGTTTGCGTTGTATCCAAGGTCCTCAGGCGCAGATGAATGGAAATGGACGAGCATCGGAGCTGGCGCAGCGGGTGTTTCCTGGCAAAGTGCCGGGTTGACTCCGCAAGTGTGCAGACCCTGGGCAGGTGAAGGAGGAGAGCAACGGTCGTCGGGTGTCCAGGCACGGCGATTGGGCCATTCACGGCGTGTTGGTCACAGCACTGGCGCTCGACAAGGAGGCGGGATCACCCTGGCTGATGCGATGCTGGCTTGCTGGCTGCAGCTAGGCGTCAAGGCTAGTAGCTCCGCGTATGTATGTGCTTGCCTTTCCGCACGGAGCCAACGGCTGTACAAGACTGTCGCGTCTTGTTGCAAACGGGAGCGAAGGTAATCTAAGAGCTTTGGAGCGTACCGTCAGACTGGCTCGCTGCCATGTCGAAGTTATAAAACTCTCCACGCTGCCCGCTGCATCCCCTCTGGACGCTCCGACCAATTCCTCACCCGCTCGACCAAGTAGACCTACCCTGCTGCTGCTCTTCTGCTCTCCTCCCCGACCAGTCCAGCACCATCCCACGCCCGCCAACAAGCTTTGATACCTCCGCCGGCCGCCTATCTTCTCCGCGTCACGCTTGTTTTTTGGTCTTCCTTTCTTCTTCCTGCTTCAACTCCGTCTTCTCCTCTGCTTCCCCGCGAGCCCGTTGAGCTGCGCTCCGCACGGCAGTCTCGCCCTCACCTGCAAGAAGAAAGAGCTCCCGTCCGCCAGCCAATCAGCGCCCCCAAGCTGCCACCCCGCCTTCCTCGTCTCCCACGCCGCTGCAGAAGGCGCTACCCCCGCCGTACGACCGCGCCTGCCCCATTCGCCGACCCCCGCCAACATGTGCACCAAGGTCGTACACAAATATGGCTGCGGCCACGAGATTGCTGAGAAGGCGCCATGCGCGACGTCAAGAACAGCTCCTTGCGGCGTCTGCAACACCAAGACCGTCAAGCACGACGAGAAGTGTGATAGATGCGACCATTGAGACAGGTGCGCCCGACCGTCCCCAAACCCTACGCGTCACACGTGTCTAACCCCCTCGCCCTATAGTGTACTCCCGTCAAATTATTCGCACGATACCCCATCACGGCCAGCCAGTCGCACGCACCGAGCCCGCCTCCGCACTCGCATTCCAAGCACCTCCTCTCTCCTAGCTCACCGTCGCGCGACTCTCTGGCCCTGATACACAGCTAGCTCCCCATTGAGGCTCTAGCCCCAGGACTGCATTTCACGGCGTCACGGATTTCAAAAAAGTATTGGTCCTCTTTGGGTATTGTCTCTTAATTGGACTGTGGGCACCGCAAGTCCGGCGTTTTGGATACAGGCTGGTGTTGCGAGACACTTTCCTACTCGTGCCACTCGGCAGCTTTCTTACTACATGGATACCACGCTCTCCTAATCTTGTCGCGCCATGCGCCGACGGCGAACCGCACCGGTTCTCTCTTCTTATCTTGTCATTGTTATCACTATATTTCTGTCTGCAGTCTCTGGCGCTCCGCGACGTTGACACGAGGGGAAACGGCCAGTATACGAGCAAGTCAATCAAACCCTGGGCACCCGAGATGGGCACTTCGTCCTCTCTCGGATTGCCATAATTCATCTGTTGAGCCCATTCTTCTATTGCGCCGCCTCCGCGGATCTCGAGACTGTCGCGGCCCAATCAATCTGCGCTGATCTGCGGTACAGTATCACGCATGAGGAACATATGCAATGCCGTTTTTCGCCAATCGCCCTGGCTTACGGCCTCTGCGATGCCATCAATCACATTTCATGTAGCTCTCGAACCACGTCGGCGAGCTGCGCCAATCACGCGAGCCGCCTATTTGCTCTGTATATTGGGTCTGACTCCCTTGTATACCAGCCCTGCACTAATACCCAGGTAAACGAGACGACGTGGTCAAGGCACCGTCTATTCTAAGCCCGTGATAGGATGCCATCAATCAAGCTCCAGTCTTGTCATGCAGCACATGCTAGCATGTGCACCGGGCACAAGTCTCAACCTGGGAACAGGAGCGTCGCCGTCGTATGATGCTCAAAATATGGCTGTCTTATTACACCTCCGATCATGCTGAGGGACGGGCCGTAGCATGTTCAACGCCGTAAGCTTAGAGGCGTCTCTCCCAGCCATGCTGCCACATGTATCTCAGCCTCCATGGCCGCCTGAAAACTCTCGCAGTAAACCCAGTCCAAGTGAGTGCAGTGCTTTCATGTGACCAACAGCAAAGCCGCGGCCTGTGCAGACATGTATCCAGATCGCCAAATAACCGAGACTCTTGTATATTGGCACCTGATATGCGTCAAGCTCCGCACTGGTCATCTGCAACCAACCGGGTAACGCGTCTTCTAGAAGGCATTCAGCCTGACCATCTTGACGGTTCAACCGAAGACTGAGCCACATAGACGCAGCAATAGCGTCCTTTGTCATGCGTGTGATTGTGCACCGGCCCCATCAGGCTTTTCTCGCCACGCTGTTGAAGCTAGTATGGTTGATTGAATCGACACTCGAGAGCGCCGTGGCCCCTCTGAATTGGCATCTTCAGTCTAATTTAATCCCCTGTGGTGGGTGTTTTGCATGTACCAGTGCCGACCCTTGTGACTACCACTCTATCCCTTGCTCTTGATTCCGCGAGACATCACATGGTCGATCTGCAGCAAGGCGCTTGTACTAGTACGTGCAGCGACGCAAAGCGGCTCCTTTCGCTTCATCAATTAGACGACCTTCGCTCGAGTGCAGTCGCATCCTGTGCCAACTTGAGACAACACCGGCAGCGGGTCTCGCTATGAAGTGTTGAGTCTAGTCGGCTCGGGGTCGGAGGAGTGACAGGGTGTTGATGCAGACGCGAATAGCTCATCACACCCGCACGTTTCGTGAAGAAATGAGATGCGCAAGCGATGACTTCGTTGTCAGGATGATGAGTGGTTCGACGGCTCGGCGTCGTTTGTGCGCTCGGCCCGGTAGTCGCTTCCTCATTCGGCCTCGGCAGCCGCGAGTTTCAATGTTCTGTCGACAACCCCAACCTCCACTCCGCAGCCATGTCGATTGATATCAACTGGGACACCATCACAGGCGGTGCAGAGGGCTCCGCGCGTGCTGAGACAATACGCGCCTTCATCCACGACCGGTTTCAGCAGGTGACGCTGCCACGCTTCATCCGCTCAGTTCACGTGCACTCATTCGACTTCGGCAGCGTACCCCCGGAGATTGAGATTAAAGACATATGCGACCCACTACCTGACTTTTACGAGGATGATGAGGACTACCCAGACGAACAAGGGGACGGGCCAGAGGAAGGCGACACGCAGCATGACGCCAAGTCACGCGACTCCAGCAACCCACCCAGTCGTTCACGAAGGGATAGCCATTCTAGGGAACGAGGCCGAGAGGTAGACTTGGAGGAACACACTCCCATTCAGACCAGGTTACGCCCTTTTCAACCTCTTCCTCGGCCATCCACGAAACGCGCGTCATTGGCTCCCAACGAACTAGGCAGCCCATTCTTTCATGGAGCACTCACGCCAGGCATCCCTGGTGGCACCTCCAATATGAACTACTTCCATCTACCTTTGAGTGCAGGTCTCTCCGGCGCTACCACGCCTCTTGCTGCTGTAGCTGGTGCCCAATTGCATAATTGGCTTGAGAACCCTCACGGTCGGCCAACTACGCCAACAAATATGCGTCTGCGGAACGCAGCGTCCATGAACTCGCTAACCCTCACACCGCAATCTCACCCAGATCCAAGTTCAAGGCCTTCCTCAAGGCACCAACAGGACGAGGGAAAGAGGCCGTCCTTTGCCGGATCAGACGACGGTACTTCTCAGCATAGCTATGCGCGGACACCGTCTGCGTCTCCTCACCGCATGCGTGAGAAGAGTCCTGATGACATACAAGTTGTGACACATGTGCAATACTCTGGCGACATCAAAATGTCACTGACAGCGGAAATCCTGTTGGATTACCCGATGCCAAGCTTTGTCGGCATTCCTCTTAAGCTAAACATCACCGGACTCACCTTTGACGGTGTTGCGATATTGGCATACATAAAAAAGCGGGCCCATTTCTGTTTCTTGTCACCAGATGACGCAGATGCTCTAGTCGGCGGCGAGACCGGCTTCAACGGCCTTCAAACAGACGCACAAGGCCAAAACCCGCGGCCTGTGCAACGACCCAAGATCGGAGGTCTGCTGGAAAACATCAAAGTCGAAAGCGAGATAGGTGGCCAGGGCAGTGGAAAGCAGGTCCTCAAGAACGTCGGGAAGGTGGAGTCTTTCGTGCTGGAGCAGGTCAGGCGCATCTTCGAAGATGAGTTTGTCTATCCAAGCTTCTGGACGTTCCTCGTTTAGAGCTCTGGAAGTCGCTCCGCGTAAAGAGCGATTGTATGTATAATTGCATGCGCTACATACATTACATGTACAGCCAGCCAGCCTCAGCAACGAAATGGCGATGTGACATTCCGCATCGGCATTTTTCACCGCCAACGGTGGATGGGATTCATTCGAGCACAGCATTTCATCTGTCCATAATGGACCTTAACACACGGCATGCATGCATACAATTTCGGGGTCACACAACAGCGATTTTCCCCACCCGAGTGACAAAACTAGTGTCTCACGGCAGCAAAGAGCCTTGTAGCAAGCCCTTCCTTTGTACTCACTACAAGGGTCATACGGCAGACGCTCCGAGAACGTGGGTTACTTGCAGTCACCATGGGCACCCGCAGAAGCGATGAGGGACGGCATTTTGACAGCTATGTTACTGACAGCGGGTGTGACGGAGTTAGGCCACGTTGGTACCTTCAGAATAGGGACGAGGACAAATGAAGCACTCTTTTGAGCCGTTAGTGCGAGTGTAACCTGCCTGTCAAGATCACTACCCGTCGGCGTCGGCATCGGGCCCATACAGACAAGCCTCGCACCGCGGTTGTGTCCCGTCAACTAGCGCATTGCCCATCAACCTTGTTATCATGTGTGTTGATCATCGATGTCGCATCCTGTCCCTCGTTTCCCGCCATTCCCGCCTTCATTGCAATCAACCTGGCTGCATGCGCCCTTTGCTAGCATACAGGTATGCATTTCGCCAATGGTACCCACATACGATGTTGTGCATTCAACCTCACCGGTCGTTGAACCGCCTTTGTACCGACTGACCAGTGATATAGAGGCACGACAGATCAGACCCAACAGATTCCGTACTGAGTCTGCAATTCCCCCAGACTATCACATTGACGCAACACCTTACTGCTAGAGTACTGCAATGGCCAATCCCCGTATGCCAACAATTCGCAATCTAGTAGCGCAATCTCACCACGTAAACTGAGATGAAATTCATGCCTCTCAACATCAAACACGAGCGCCTTCTAATGTTCTCAATCACATGCGACCTATTCTTGGACAATCATAAGACAGAGTTTCGATAACCCTTGGAATGGATGACAACCATGTCGCATGCTTTGTGCAATATTACCGTACCTTGTGCCGTTATTGTCACATATAGACTCTTGGGGTCATAGTACCGGCTGTGAACCGGCAAGGATTGCGGCGCTATGGCGTGTCTTGCATGGCGGAAGTCGTGACGTCCGTCTACAATTGCTTCAGCCAAGCAAGCAACAGCACTTTCCGGTAAAGGTGAATGATCTTATCTGACGATGATTGCTCGAATGGCTGGACTGCGACGGTAAGACTACAGAGGTTGTACAGAACATCCCGAAGCGGAATGCCCATGCAATAATGAGAACCACCTATATGTCCGCGTTTATGCATTCCTCGATGGTCTTTGGCGCCCCAAGAGTTCACACTTCCCAGGCTTGGCACATCCATTTCTCTTGGAGGACGGCATAGAGGTCAATCTGTACCGATACCACACCATTGGTGATCGTTCTACAGCCTGGTGTATTTGCTACTGTATGAAATTGTCGCAAGCTAACTATAGTGTCCATCACTAATCTGGTTGACATCCGATCAGGCCTCCAGACATTTTGAAACTTGGATGATGTGCATGCACCGTGCCTGCTGGTTAGGCTTGCCGACAAGGCCGCGTTCAAGCGAGGCTGGCTGACTGAGCGCGAATGGGCCAATGACGCACACCATTCCCCACATCGCGACCCCGCGCGTCATTATCCAAAATGACGCAGTACGCGCCTGTGCGCCCTGACGCTACTCGATCCACTCATGAGGCTGCGAAACTTCGTGCGCCATGCTCGCGTCATTCGAAATGCGCGGCTGCCTGTGTTCAGCAACCGCAAACGCTACCAGTATGAGTGCCTGCCATCGCCTACCTGTATACGCCTATTGGAGCTCCTACCAGTGACAAGCAACGGTATCATTCGCTGCTCGTTGAAGGTTACTGAGCTTGCAGATGCGCCTTCCTTCAAAGCTCTGTCATACACATGGGGTAGTCCGCGAGCCAGTTCCATATCAGGAACATCGCGACACTATGAAGTAGGAACGAAACCTGCATCGAACGACGAAGTAGACTCGACCCGCCAGCACACCATCATATGCGATGGCTGCCTTCTCAAGGTCACCAGTAACCTTCGAGATGCACTGCAAATGCTCAGCAACGCTATCAACATGCCACACATGCCCAAAACCCCGACCTACTACTGGATAGACCTTTTGTGCATGAATCAAACAGACATTGATGAGAGGAATGCTCAGGTTGCCCGTATGGGTGATGTTTTCAAGAAGGCCGATGGAGTTGTTGTCTGGCTAGGCAAAGAGGATCAGTACACGCTGGATGCTGTCACTACCATGCGGAAGATAGCGGCTATTCCCGAGAAACACTGGCCGCTAGTACCTTACACATCCTTCTACAATCCCGAAGAGAGTCAGCTAGTATCCTCTACTGGTCTCACCTTCTACAACTGGCTAGGCTTCACAGTCCTCATCAACCGCCCATGGTTCAAGAGGGCTTGGGTGAGTTTGCAACGAATAGCTACATGCACAGCCGACGACTGATATCATCAGGTCGTTCAAGAGATCGCACTTGGCAAATCGGCTCTGGTAGTTTGTGGTAACAAGGTCTTTCCTTGGGAAATTCTATCCAAAACGCTGTCTTTTGTCAAGCTCACGAGGTGGTATCATCATCTCCATGCAGACAAACTAAAGCATGTCAAAGAGCTGCGGAAACATCCTGGCATCTACAAGCAAATTCTCAAGTCGAAGCTAGCTGTCGGCATCAGCCCTCTATATCTCAATGATACCCGGCTATTCGCATCTTCACTGATCAGAGACGACGGTCAAGCGACCAAACAACCGTCTTTTCGGAACCTGCTCGACAAGCACCGCTTTTCAGAGTCTTCAGATCCCAGGGACAAGGTGTACGCATTTCTCGGCCTGGCCAACCGGGGTATGTCTCCATTTCGTACGCAGCCTAACGCGCTTACGCCGGATTACAATCTCAGTGTACAGGAGGTCTTCACCCAAACTACAGCGGTGCTCATGTCGTCTTACAAGAACCTTTCGTGGTTGTCACACGTGGAAGATGCTTCACAGAGACGGATATCAGGGTTGCCATCCTGGGTACCCGACTTGAGCGTGCCGCTTCAACCTTACCCACTTCGCTATCGTGGTCCGGCATACTGGCATGCTGCTGGGAATCGCGTCTGGCGTCCGGATGTAGAAAGCATGAAAAAAGGACTTCTCCCGGTCCAAGGACATCGATTAGATCAGATTGACCAGACCTCTCTGCTTATTGACGAATCAGAAGACCCCCCAGCGGTATGGGCAAGCATCGTGAACCTGGCCCTTGCGCTTGACTTGTCATACCCCGACCCTGGTGCAACTGGCAAGACACCATCGCGTGTCGAAGTACTATGGCGAACGCTGACCACCGACATCTACAACCATACATACCCTGCGCCTGTAGAAACAGGCAAACTCTTCATTGATTACATCCTCAACCTCCAGATCAGGCATCGCTTGACTCCATGGTCAAGCGCTGACGATTTCCAACCCCATCATTCGCCATTGACAGAGTCTGTATACCCAGATTGGCGCAAACTCCTTGAGCTCGAACCACCGGACTCGCCGTACAGCTTCGAATCGTATTCTAAGCGCTTAGTTGCCGTGGTGGAGAGTATGTTCAATGGTACATATTCGCCAATCGGGCTTGCGCAGCTACAGCACGAGCTTGATCAAAGCGCAGGCCGCCAACGAAGACTTTTCAAAACACGCGGAGGGTTCATGGGCACTGGAGCGAGGTCGCTGCGTGTAGGCGACGAGGTCTGGGTGCTGTATCGCGGTGGTCTTCCCTTTGTGCTGCGGCCTTTGCCTAATGGCCGTTATCGTCTTGTCGGAGAATCGTTTGTATACGGGGTGATGCATGGGGAAGCTCTAATGATGGATCTTCGGCGACAGAATATCGTTCTTGAGTAGGATGCTTGAGTCTGTCATGGTGGGAACCAAAACGTTGAAGTACCCGACATGTTCACGTACTATTCGTCGCCATGATAACAGCGCTTCTTTCATTGTATTACCCCTGTACTTCGCGTCATATATCCCATCAAATGCTGCAACGACTATCGCTCCTCAAGAAAGGTTCACTATACGCACACAAAGTACTTCTCCTGCAACGCATCATGCAACCTTCCAAACACACCTCCATGCCACATCCTAAAATCATCCCATTCTTCAGCAGGCATACAAGAAGCCATCATGTTCACCCATCCACCCACAATGAGATCCGCGTAGTTCGCCGTCTCACCCTCCAAGAACGGCCCCTCTTCATGAACCATGAATAGATCTGCCAGCGACTTCAGCGCCGCCTTGAATGCTACTTTGAGCTGCTCCCTAGCCTCGCCTTGAATGCAGATACTGTCCCAGGAATCCAAGTGAGCACGTTTGCTCATCTGTGCCTTGACGGCGTCTGCCGTCTCAGGGTTGAAAGGCATATACTGAGCAACAAGCACTATATGAGCAGAGAACGTAGCGTCAACGTGGGTGTTGAACTTTGCATACGCCTTGTGTTTGGCCCCTTCGTTCAATGTGAGGGGAGCGTAGAACATGGTGTCTTTGTTCGGACTCTCGTAGTCAAGTCCAGTGTGAGTTGACTCTTCAGGAAACAAACAGCCACCAGAGTCCGGAAACGTGTCTTCGAGATAGTTGGCGATGTCGAAACTGTCTCCGATGACCTTGTCTGCGGACGGATCTTGCAGCATGGGTAGGGTGTGGAAGTCGGATCCATCGTCTAGCTTACGTGTGGCTGGGCAATTCAGTCCCTTGCGGACGGTGGAGATGTCGAGGAGATCGACCCAGGTTGTTTTGAAAGGTACGCCCTTGAAGCTTAGGGCGAGGCGGGCCTTGGAGGGGTTGGGTGCGTAGGAGCGGGGCTGGATTGGGGAGGAGATGTCGTAGAAGACGAGGGGTTTGGATTCTGTCATCTTGGCAGTGGTTGTTTGTATAAGAGTAGAGTGATGTGTTACGAAGACCGGTGGGGTAGGGGTGTCGAGTCACGTAGCTGTGATGTGGAAGAGATGCAGGCCATGCACGTAAGACTAAAGGAGCTTGGCGGGTTGTGGGGTGATACGTGACATGAAAATCGTAGCGACTTGTATTCAAATCTGTTGCAAGAGTTTACGATTGGTTTTGCCAGGTCTCACGATGTTAGTTGGTGTCGAATGAGCTGGTGCTCCTGCCGGTATCTCAGACAGGGCAAGAGCGCACGGACCCGAAAGCAGCTGTGGGAAGCAAGATGGATCTGGTTCCTGTGGAGCAGACACTACCCCACGACCTTTGACGCGTCTGCAGTCTATGAAGTCGATTTTACGACGGGCGCTCATATTCGTTTGTTCGGCGTGTAGTGGCCGATGTGAGCAGCATCTGGCAGGTTCACGCGTGTAGCGATGACTAACACAGCGAATGACCGGCTCGGCACCAGCTCTTGTCCTCGTCATAGGCCAGCCGACTGCTCACACGCGCAATGGGTGTCGCATTCCCTACGAGTGCAATGCGTGCGGCGAGGGTATATATGCCACGGCCTTCGGACTAGCAGCAGACAAGACAACTAAATGCACCATGTCCACCACTCTGCGTACAAACGCCTTGGACTTCCTAGACGTCGAGCACGATGACGAGCTTCCTGGCTATGACGAGGCTATGCCAGCTCCTGCCTACGGCGCACACGACGGGCCCCTCGCTACCTTCTGTCTTCGCCAGTATGATCGCAAGATACAAATGCTCGCTGCCTACGATGCGCCCATTGCTCCCTCGTACCGCATCACAACCAACAGCTTCCGCGTCTTCTCCAAGAAGCCGGAGATGGAGGTGCTCCATACTTCGCAGGACATGCGGCAGCGCAACATAGCCGCACTGTCCTATGACAACGACGGAGGCTTCCCCTGGCGGCCCCGCGCGCATTTCGATTACACCGTAGAGGATGGCTCGTGTACGCGGTACATGATGGAGTCGTTGAACTTTGAGGACTGGAGTTGCACCATCGATGACAAAACGTACGTCTGGGCACTCGACATGCGACCAATTGCATTGGTGCTGAGCGACAAGGACTCAGGCAAAGTCATTGCGCGCTTTACATTCTCAGACAAAGGCGTGCTCGCTCTGAGAGGTGCAGAGGTTGGCGACTTGGCCATCTTCCGCGACGGACTGACGCTGGCGCCAGGCGGTATCGACAAGGTGGTCTGTGGTGTCATGATTGTCGTTACCTTCTTCAAAAGAATGGGTAGGAACTACACGAACCCGAAGACGGATGGACTGGGGCGAGTAGGGTCGGTGGCCAGAGAGATGCCGCTGCCGTCGCTGCATCGGGGCTCGACAGCAGGCTACTCGAGTTTGGGCAACTGGGCAGGATAGCATGCATGTAGCTGAAGGTTGGATATTAGGTGGTGCAATGCAGATATTGGCTGACCGAAAGACGCGAAAGGTACCATGTTGCTGTGCTTATGCCACGCGTGGAAGGGCCGAGAAAGCACCTAGAGACGAGATGGGTGTCGATCTGGGGCATGGCCTACCAGAACGTGGGTGACGGCGTCATGGGGCTAGAAAACGGCGTGACAGCGCTCGCGCACTACTCGAGACAGCGGCGCGGACCGGGCAACGACTGCTAGCAACCACCTAACAGCCGTTGTAATGTTGATGTTTCGACGTGATGTTTTATTTCTTTGTGCCGGTGGCTTCATGCCAGTCATGCCTCGGAGGCGACGCAGGACGCTTAACCCCTATGCGCGCCCGACCCGGGCGAAGGTTCTGGATCGCACCGACTCGAGCCAATCTGCCGATCAAAAGAGCAGGTGGAGACGGGCCCGTCCAAGACGACAAGGCCATCCCCGCTTGCCAAGTCGCTCGAACTCGTGTTTGCTGGTGGAGAGGCAACGCTGCGAGGGCGCCCCAAACACCACACAGCAGACAGCGTGGTGACACCGAGTGTGGCTGACAGCAGTGCGCGTCCAGACGGCACGCCTCTGCACAGCGCAATCTGCTCAGTCCATGCATTGCCCTGGGCCAGCTTGCAAGCTGTGGCGAACCAAGCCTTCGCCTGGGTCTGGAGCCATCAGCCCATGTTCAACGTTCGAGGCGTCTAGCCCAAAGGGACCAACGCCTAATCTCTCCCCGGGAGGCCCGCCCTCTGCCCTTTTCCACCACCGTGGACGCGACTGCGACCTGCACCGAGCCGCCGCCGCCGAGCTGCTCTTCCAGCTTCACACTCGTCGCCAGCGCCCGCCAGAGCACCCGCTCGTCCTCTCTTTTCGCCAGTCCGCTGCTCGCAATCGTTCGCCCGGGACCTGCGGCCAAAAGCAATATAAACCCTGCACCACCAAAGGCCGACGCACCTGTCGCGCTGCTTCGGGCCTAGCAGCCTTGGTCGTGCTTTCACTCCACCTCGCCTGCGTGCCTGCCCTCTGAGCCGCGCCCCAGAGTAATCGAGATCCTGTACTGATCGTCGACGATACGCTTGGAAAACTCCGCCGCCGCCCGCTGCGAGGAATGGGATTCGCACATTCCCCTCTGTCTACCCACAACACCCGCCCTCGCGTCTGTCAGCTCGCCGGTACCGCTTGGACAGCTGAGTGAGGTCCGCCCCGGCTGCGCATTCTCCCACTATTTCCGGGCTGCGTTGCTCCCCTCAAAGCACGTCGGTAGAGTAGCCTGCGACTCTTCGCAGAGCCATGGTCAAGATGCGGATTCCCATCCGCGAACAGTTGGGATGTCTGGTTCTGCTGGCGTCCATGATAGGCCTGGCCGTCATAGCCGTCGCAACATGGGTACATATCGACGCTGCATACTCGTCCATGCTGGTACTGACTTTGCCAGCTCACCAACCACAACTTTGTGCTCAACATCCGCTCGACTCGCCTGACACTGACAGCCTCGCTCAAAGCCGCCCAACTCTCCTCGAATCTGAACTTGATGCAAATCCTGTCCCAGCAGGCTGCGAACCGCCTCTCCCCGCAGGCCGCCCTCAACCGATACTACGACGGCAACACCTCGGAGGCGAACTGGGCCCGAGTCGAGGAGGACTACGATGCCATCTTCTCTGGTGATATGAGAACCCGTGTGGCTGTCCAGGCCAAGATATACCCCTTCAATTCCTCCGAGCGCTCCGTCTTCAGCCGGACCGCACAGAGCATGATGGACGTTGTGCTGCCCATACTTAAGCCCGACGGCACGAATGCGACGCTAGGCGACAACGAGTACGGCTTCATTGACGACCTCTACCCCAAGTTCTCTGTCGAGACGATTCCCTACAACGACACCGTCAACACCTACAAGGCACACTACGAAGGCAGGACCATTGACAACACGAGCTACCTCTTCACCGGGCCCTACCGCGTCAACGAAACACTCAGCTTGGTCTCGGTCACCATACCCATCATCAACAACACGTCCAACATCGACACCCTAGGATGGCTTACGGCTGTCCTGGACGCGTCGCTGATTACCAATGTCGTCAACGCCATGGAAGGTCTAGACAACAGCGGTCTTACCCTGCTGTTCGGCCCGGACAATGCCACGAATACCTTTCCTCCGGCATATCTGTACGACGCCGATACCCCCAACGCTCCCGAGAACGTACAGGTTCGCTACCTCGCCCCGCCAACACAGCGAGCAAAGGTGCAACGGCATGGACAATACGACACCTCTCTTGATCCGCCTCCATTCGACTGGGCAAGATATCCCGCCATTCGCAAGGGTTTCACCAAGCCTACCGGCGCTACCAACAATGCTGGTAGCATCATCTCCACCAGAAACGAGGATGGCGACGATGTTGCCGTTGGGTACGCTGTCGTTAACAGTCCCATGGTCGACTGGATGATTGTGGTAGAGCAAACCCACGATGAGGTCTGGGGACCCATCTACCACCTCCGGAACGTCATCCTTGCCTGTGTCTTTGGCACAATGGGTGCAATGCTACTTTTGGCCTTTCCCGTGGCACACTTCTCCAGTCAGCCCATACGAAGACTACGCGATGCTACCAAAAAGACAGTAGCGCCTCACATGTTCGAGGACGACGACTTCAGCTCGCAAAACGATGGCGCCAACGACAGTTCGGAAGACGCGGCCCTTGCCCGCAAAGAGGGCTTCTTTGGTCAAATCATACATTACCGGAGAAACGCAAAAATGAATCGAGCAGAGAAGAAGGAAGCCGAGAGACGGAGACAATTCCGCATTCCAGGCAAAGTCAAGGACCGTAAACACTTCATTCACGATGAACTGACGGATCTGACAACGACCTTCAACGAGATGACGGACGAGTTGATGATGCAATACGAGAAACTGGAAGAGCGGGTGGCACAAAGAACAGCTGAGCTCGAACAGAGCAAGAAGGCGGCCGAGGCGGCTAACGAGAGCAAGACGCTGTTCATTGCGAACATCTCGCACGAATTGAAGACACCACTCAACGGTATTCTGGGCATGTGCGCCGTGTGCATGTCGGAAGACGACCCGAACAAACTGAGACGGTCGCTGGGCATCATCTACAAGAGTGGAGACTTGCTACTCAATCTATTGACAGATCTCTTGACTTTCAGCAAGAACCAGGTTGGTCAGCAGCTCAGTCTTGACGAGAAAGAATTCCGACTACGAGACATCAGCTCACAAGTCTTGGCCATTTTCGAAAAGCAAGCAAGAGAGGGCGGCATCAAGCTCGCTGTCGAATTCGAGGGACCATACGAAAACAACCTGGACGATAGCGGACGGCCGAACGAGCTTCGCGACCTCGGACCTTTCGGGCTTGGTCGACTCAAGGACATGGTCTTGTACGGCGATCAACATCGGATTCTTCAGGTGGTCATCAATCTAGTATCGAATAGTCTCAAGTTTACGCCACAGGGTGGTTCGGTCACGCTTACTATCCGTTGTCCTGGAGAGGCACACATGTCAGACAGTCGCAAGGCGTCTCTGCAATCAAGGCAGAGCTCAACGCGCAACTCGAAAACTCGCGTAAGAGCCTCCGCATCAGAGGTAGGATCCGTCTCAATTGCGACACCGAGCGACAACTTCGGAACCGCCAACGTCATCAACGTCATGGGCAAGGGAGATGCGTTCTCCCGCTACATGGCTCAGGAGCGAGCCCCAACACCGCCACCGGGACGGTGGTTGTCTTTCGAGTTCGAGGTCGAAGACACTGGCCCAGGTATTCCCGACCATCTACATGCCAAGATTTTCGAGCCTTTTGTGCAAGGCGACTTGGGTCTAAGCAAGAAGTTTGGTGGCACCGGTCTTGGCCTGAGTATCGTCTCGCAGCTGGCTGGTTTGATGAAGGGCACGATCGGTCTCAAGAGTGAGGTCGGACACGGAAGCGTGTTCACAATGGTAATACCGTTGAAGCACCTTACAAGTCGGGCCGACAGTACAGCCAGCTCCAGAAACGTGAACCTGGAAACCGGGACACCGCGCCGCAGCTTATCGATCGACGAGCCGCCGCGAGGTCGCTCACATGATGACGCGCTTTCGGCCCGCTCGATACAGTCCGCTACAAGTGGCCCGATCGTCGCTGGGAACACCGCTGCTACTGCTCCGTCCGGGCCAGTTGCATTCGACACCGATACTCAGCCTCGTCTTGTCGGTCTTAGTCAGCCTTTCTTCGCTTCGAATGCGCCATTGGAATCACCAAACTCGCAAGTTGCAGCTATGAAGCGCGTTGAAGCCGAAGCTACAAAACGTGGAGACAAAGTCAAGGTTCTCGTCGCCGAAGACAACAAGACAAATCAAGAGGTCGTACTGCGCATGTTGAAGCTTGAAGATGTGTACGATGTCACTGTCGCAAAGGACGGTCAGGAAGCGCTCGACTTGGTCATGGAAAGTATGGAACGCAAAGCTCCATACAACCTCATCTTCATGGATGTCCAAATGCCCAACCTGGATGGTCTGCAATCAACGAGATTGATCCGACAGTCTGGTTTCTCGGCCCCCATCGTTGCTCTGACAGCTTACGCGGAGGAGAGTAACGTGAAGGTATGTAATCAGCGTCCTGATCTCGCTACTTTATACTAACAAGTCATAGGAATGCCTCGACTCAGGCATGGACTTCTTCCTTTCGAAACCGATCCGCCGCCCCGCCCTCAAACACGTCCTCAAAACATACTGTCCTACCATCCCAGAAGAAGAGTCGGACACAACGCCACCCGGTTCCGCGGTCTTGACGCCGAAGCCAAATGGTGTAGCGGTGAAGCCTGCCCCACTAGCGGCGGGGTTCACGGCGCCATTCACCATCGTCTCGGGAACGAGCGATAACCGGCGTGCCGATGAATCGCCCGCCATATCGCCCATGACCTCGCCTGCAGCGTAGCGCTAGTGATGCATTATCTTGCTGCGCTCTCATCTGATCTTTTTCGCTGGATTCATTATCCCTG